CTCCTATCAGCAGGACTAGGAGAAAGAAAAATAGGTTTATGGGGAAGATCAAGATTTCTGTTTTGGACATGCAAGTTTGAGATGCCCATTAGACATCTTACAGGTATTGTGCATAATAATTACCTGTTACTAGACTGTGAAATCCTTAAAGGCATTTTATTCATCTTTGTCTTTCCAGAACTACATCTTGGCTGCTCCACACCCCTAGCTCAATTCTCAGAATGTCTCTGTGATGCAACTTTTGCATGATTTCTGCCAGGTAATATAGTAGGTGCTTTAGAAGTCTCTGTCAAATAATGGGTAAATCCAAAGCCACCATATTGCTTCTTCCTCCTATCTGTCTTCCTGTCTTTTGCCCCTGTTCTTTCTCATATCCAGTAACACACTTTGTAATTAGCATTTCATCCAAGCCGGGCTGGCCCAAGCTGATAGGAAAAACTTAGAAATTTGCAAAAAAAAAAAAAAGAACCAATGCTGAGGCTTCTTGGATAAAATTACCAAATCCCACACAACCCACACACAACTGACATCTAATTTTAATGACCATAGTTTAGTCAAATTCTAAGACTGAACTCCACAAGCTCTATATCATTTGGGGGTAAAATTTAGACCTTTAAAGACCCTACACTATTTCAGCTACATTCAGAATAGGGAAGATTTTGGTTCAGTAATTCCACTTCTAGTAATGGATCCTAAGGAAATAATCAAAGATTTAGACAAAGATATATGTATGACGATGTGCCAGGCAGTGGTATTTTCGATAGTGTAGAGTTGGGACCATCAATAACAACAACAAAAAATTGGACTTCATGAGAAATTTTTAAAATTTGTGCATCAAGACACTATCCAGAGAGTAAAAGAACCACCCACAGAATGGGAGAACATATTTCCACATCATATATCTGATAAGGGATTAACATCTAGAATATATAGAGAACTAAAACCCAACAAAGAAACAACCAACCATATTAAAAAATGGCCAAAGGACTTGACTAGACATTTCTCCAAAGAAGATATACAAATGCCCAATAAGCACATGAGAAGATGTTCAACATCACTAATCATTAGAGAAATTTAAACCAAAACTACAATGAAATACCACTTCACATCCATTAGGATGATGGCTATTATCAAAAACCAGACAACAAGTATTGGCCAGGATGTGGAGAAATTGGATCTCTTGTGCACTGTTGGTGGGAATGTAAAATGGTGCAGCCACTATGGAAAACAGTATGGCAGTTCTTCAAAAAATTAAAATTAGAATTACCATATGATTGAGCAATTCTACTTCTGGGCAAATACCCAAAGGAACTGAAAGCAGGGTCTCAAAGAGATACTTGTACGTCCACATTCTTAACAGCATTATTCACAATAGCTAAAAATCAACCAAGTGGTGATGGATGAATGGATAAGCAAAATGTGGTATATACGTACAATAGAATATTATTCAGCCTTGAAAAGGAAATTCTACGATATGCTACATGATGATCCTTGGGGACATTATGCTAAGTAAAATAAGCAAGTCATTTAAAAAAATGTATGATTCCATTTATATGATAGTCAGATTCTGAGAGAAAGTATAATGGTGGTTGCCAGGGATCAGGGGTGGGGTGGGTAGGGAAATGGGAAGTTATTATTTAATAGGCATAAAGTTTCAATTTTACAAGGTGAAGAGTTATGAGGATGGATGGTGATGATGGTTGTGCAACAATGTGAAGGTATTTAATACCATGGGTTGTATACTTAAAAATGGTTAAGATCAATTTTGTTATGCGTATTTTTCCACACACAAAAAAAGAATTAAAAAATCAATTGAACATAAAGATTTACTTCTGGAAAAATGGTAGGGGTTGCAGCATCTTCATATCATTTAGTGCCATCTTCATGCTTCACTTGATTTTGAGGAAAATTAGAAAAGAGCAAAAATGTCGTTGGCTAGATGTTAGCAAATCTGCTGACACCAGTGCTTGTTTGCTCCCATTGTATGTGACAGAAAGACAGTTCCTACTTACCGTATCTATTAGACTTGAGAAAGAAGTCTTAACTCAAAAATAAATAAATAAATACACAAACCCATCCCCTCTGTTGACAAATTTCCATGAAAGCAAGCCGTAAGAACTAGTGCACCTCAGAGACAGCTGTGCTCAGTCTACCTGCAGTCGGGCAGCATGCTCATATTTATCCAATCCAAGCCCTTATTACACTTCCCTGACGAGAAAACACCTGAAAGTGACCCTTTCCAAAGTAAGATGGCCAAGAAACACACGAG